TTGGCCTTGGGTAGATAAAGGTGAACCTTTACAGCCAACCACTTGTACTTTGTCTTCAAATCCACTTGGGTGGTCTGATGGAGCTGGGTTGACCAAGGGCAAATTTGGAAAGGATGATTTGGGCCTTTGCTTTGGCTGTGCTCTGCACCTACACTCTCAGGGTCTTGAGGGCTCATGAAGAGAATAAACCCAAGCTTGAAATGAGAATGATCTAAACTACTTTTCCCATCTCAATACGAAGGAGTTGCACTGTGTTGATTGCAAACAGAAACTAATCATTTTTCCCCCTGTGTTCAAACTTTCTCCTTGCTCTCCTTGCTCAGGTCAGTTACCACTAGATGTCCCAGAGTCCAGGCCACCCCTGGCCTCCCATGTGCTAACCCACTCAAGGCTCTTTGTAGCACCTTATGAACCCGTTGTTCCCACGGCCCTCCCACGGTGCCCTCAGTCCCTTATCAGCAAAGCCCTTACCTTGTTGATCTGTTGCCTTCACCTTCTTGTCCTAATGCCACCGTGCTCTTGGCAGTGGATGCTGCGGTCCGACGGTCTCCGCAGAGCTCTCACAACCTTGGGCTTGCAGGCAGAAGAGAGTTCCTCCTTCGTTTTTTCTTTCATGGTATTCTCTCTCCTTTCTAAGTCTTCCTTAACCCAGTGGTTTTTTTTTTTAATATTTATTTATTTTTATTAGACAGGCATATACACAGAGAGGAGGAGAGACAGAGAGGATCTTCCATCGGATGGTTCACTCTCCAAGTGACTGCAACGGCTGGAGCTGAACCAATCTGAAGCCAGGAGACAGGCGCTCGTCTTGGTCTCCCATGCGAGTGCAGGGTCCCAAGGTTTTGGCTAACCTCAACTGTTTTCCCAGACCACAAGCAGGGAGTTGGATGGGAAGCGGGGCTGCCGGGATTAGAACCAGAGACCATATGGGATCCCAGCACGTGCAAGGCGAGGACTTTAACCACTATGCTATCGCACCGGGCCCAACCCAGTTTTCTTAAAAAATAAAAAAGTTCTCTGATGCCACCTTCTGTTGTTATAGTCACCTAGTCACCCATAGATCACTCTGTCTTATTTCTCATGGAATCTTGTTTTTGCTACTGGCATCCTCTTCCAATGATTCTGCGTTCCACACCCTTCGGTCACCCCCTCCCACAGTAAAGTCCCACCCTAGACTGCATCACTCCTGTGGAATCTCAAACTGATTCATCCTAAACTAATCACGATATTGACGTGTGGTCAGTCTGCAGAAGCAGGATGGACTTGACCCAAACTTTGGTTTGGATGTCAAAGCTGATTGCTGCTATACATGTGCCATTATGGGATGAGGTTTCCTGCTGACATGAAGAGGCCCTGCAGAGAACAGGGCAGGCTCCCAAATGAGTCCCAAATGTAGCTTTAGGGAACAGAGAAAGGAGACTATCCTGGGGTTTTATGGTGCATGGGGGATGGGACTTACTGCTGGTCCTGAAGGCTTCTGGCTTTTCTTGGCTGTCTGTGCAGAGAGCTAGCAGAGAGGAAAAGAAGAATGGTGGGCTTGAGAGCTACCGAAAAGATTTTTTAAAATGGGGTCCAGTTCTTTTTGACATACAAGCTCTTTCCAGACCACTCTCTTTTTCCTTGACTCCTGCAAACCTTGACTCCACAAACAGTTCCAATTCACTGACCGCACCAATTTTTTTAATAACTGTAACATAAGCCATCTTCCTTTCTTGCCATCTTCTAACAAAACTACTTTTATAACTTACCTATGGTTAGCCTTCAGACTTAGACCATTTTCTTTTTTTCTTTTTTTTTTTAGACTTATTTTTATTATTTATTTATTGGAAAGGCGGATATACAGAGAGGAGAGACAGAGAAGAAGATCTTCCGTCCAATGATTCACTCCCCAAGTGAGCACAACGGCCGATACTATGCCGATCCAAAGCCGTTTCGAAGCCAGTCCGAAGCCAGGAGCCTCTTTCAGGTCTCCTGCGCGGGTGCAGGGTCCCAAAGCTTTGGGCCGTCCTCGACTGCTTTCCCGGGCCACAGGCAGGGAGCTGGAAGGGAAGTGGGGCTGCCGGGATTAGAACCGGCGCCCATATGGGATCCCGGACGTGCAAGGCGAGGACCTTAACCACTTGTGCCACCGCGCCCGGCCCACACCATTTTCCTAAGAATTTAAGGGCCCGGGCCCGGCGCGGTGGCGGATCGGCATAGCATCAGCCGTTGTGCTCACTTGGGGAGTGACTCATCGGACGGAAGATCTTCCTCTCTGTCTCTCCTCCTCTCTGTATATCTGACTTTCCAATAAGAAAATAATAAAGATAAATCTTTAAAAAAAAAAAAAAGAATTTAAGGGCCCACGTCTTCCCTAACTCCCCACAACTATCTTTCTTCTTTAAAAATCACCCTGTCAGGTTCAAATCGGAGGAGAGCATATTTAGGACCCCACTTCCTCCCGGCTGGCCACTCTAAGAACTGCACAGGCTCGATGCCCCAGTTCTCCTCTCTGGGGTATTCACTGCCCAGCACTGCCCAGGTCTAATTTTGGAATGGTACCACTTTCGCTGTCCTTGACTTTCTCCGTGTCTACTCTTCCCTCTTCGCTTCATGTCACACGCCATGGTGAATCTTTATCATTCCCTTGCCCACTCCCTCAGCTTCCTTGCTTTCCCCTCCTAGCGTATTCCCTTGGTATAATCCGACTAAACAGAGTTCTCAGCCTCCTCTCCGAGCCTGCATCCCAGCAGCTGCTTACTTCTGGAGGGAAAAAAAGCACCGTCACGCTGACTTGTCTCACTTAAATTCACGACCATGGACTCAAGTGGGCCCGGAATGCCACTCGGCAGCCTACAATTTGTTTCTGGCCCTATCCATCTTCCCATTCTCTTGGATGACTATTTCACTTCCCTTTGCTCTTCAGCTGGTAAGCACTTTCTATATTTCTAAAAGAAGGGAAACAGAAAAGAACTACCTAGGATTCCCCGCCCCACCTCTCCTACCTGCCTATGGCCATGGATGCACACCCCAGCCCTGTCCAGACATTCCTCACTTCTCCCCTCGACTCAGAGCCATTTCCCTACCTTGGAGGGACACCCCTCCAGCCATTCACCCTCCCGCTCGGCTCCTCCATTAATTCTTCTTTTTCAGGTCATTCCTAGCCGAGGGGAATGTGACTCCCCCATTGTTTTAAAAGGATTTTTGGCTCTACTTGGCCGCTCATTGCAAAACTGCTAGAACAGTCAACACGAGCCATTTCCAATTCCTCTCTTCTAAGCATGCTGTTTGTTGGTCCTCCGTGGCTCCACTGAAACCCCACGCTTGGTCTCCATGCTGCTCAGTCCTCACTCACATCCCAGTACTCACTACTCGTGGCTTCACCTTGCATGGCAGTGCTGACTGTTCCCTTTGTCTCAGTTGCTGACTCATCCTCTTCTCTTTCCTTAAAGTCACATCTAGGGCTTTGCTTTTCTTCTCTTTACAGCGAATCCCTTGGTGACCTTACCCAGTCGCAGGACTTCAAGCACCCTCTATGCTGACATCTGCCATGTATCCACAGCTTGGTCTGCCTGGTCCCATTCTCACACACAGGACAGCCTACTCGAGAACTCCACTTTAATAAGTAACTCCCACATAACACGTCCAGAAACAAACTCCTGATCTTTCCCCTCAAACTCTTTTCCCCAACTCCCTGGCCATTTTTCCCACCACCCTTTGCAGCTCTCTTACTCCTTTTGATTGCATTCATGATTTATTGCTTCTCTCTCCCGGTGCCCCAATGTAATATCCACAAGGGAAGTGTGGGTAATAGTAAATGAATGAAACCAGCAGGATCCATCCTTAGGTTACTCCGAAATTATTAATTCTCCTCGCTCAAGCATCCACGACAAAAGTATGCATCTGCGAGCAAATACCACTTAAGTTAGAAACCTGCGAGGGTATGTGTGCGTGGGTGGCAGCTGTAGTCAGAAAGGTGTCTCTTCAGAAAGCACCAGGACCAGGCTTAGGCAAAATTCAGTGGGTGAGCTGATAAAACCCACTCCTCAGGGGACAGGCCTCGCTGAATTTGAAACGGCCCCCCAAGTATGTGAAAAGGGACCAGAGGGCAGTTTCAAAAGCTTGGGTTAACAGCGGTTCTTCCATCACGATGTCCCCAAACACTCCCCCTTATCTGGATCTCATCATCTAGGCAACCACCACACCTCGTCTTCTGTAGCCTGGAGACGCTGTGCCTCGTCTCAGGTCTCTTGCCTTCAGGACTGACAGAATTCAGTCATTCTCTCCACCCCTCCCCTTTGAATCAGGGTTCCTGGGTGGGGCCAGGAAAACCCCGAGGCTATCTTGAAAACCAAACAAACAAAAAAAAAGCACAAGGATAAAAAGTTAAAGGCCCGTGGAGGAGACGAACTGAACGGCTGGGGGTGGAACAGAAGGGGTCCCCCAGGCCGTGCCCAGAGGGCCCCCAGCGTAGTGCGGGGTCCCCGGGGAAGCAGCCGGAGCTGCCCTTGCATTTCGCTGTAACCCGCCCAGACAGGTCGGGACCGCCCGAAGCAGCAAGAGTCTTGGAAGGAGCTGCATTCCCTAGCCCGGCGGCGGCGCGGGGCGGTGATGGCGGGGGAGGTGGCTGAGGACCCGCGGACCGGCGCAACGCGAGCAGCCCAGCAAGCGGCCAGGCTGGGACGCTGCAAGGGTTCGCGCCCCGGGGCCCGCCGGCGCACGGCCCGCGTCCGGCACCCCCTTCCCATCCCTCCCTGGCGCACCTTCCCTTTAAGCGCGAGGCCCCGGTGGATTTGTGTCGGCGGAGGCTCGGCTCGACTCCCCTTTATGGCGGAGTCGGCAGGGACGGCAGCTCTGACAAGCCGCGGCGGCGGCGGCGGGGCAGGCGAGAGCGCAGGCCGCGCCTCGTGCCGCCGCCGTCCGGGTCGGCGCAGCGGGGCCGAGGGGGAGCGCGCCGCCCGGCCCGGCGGGGGCGGGGGAGTGGGCGGGCCCGGCCGGGCAGGGGGCGGGGAGCGCGGCCGGCGGCGCTCGGGTCCGCCTCTGACTGCGGCGCGGCGGGGCGATGTGTGATTACCATGGCGAGGAGTCTCTGTCCGGGGGCCTGGCTGAGGAAACCCTATCAGCTCCAGGTAGGCCGGCGGCGGCGGCGGCCCCCCGAGCGCCCTGCCGCCCTCCCGCCGCCCCTCAGCCGCGCGGGACTCTCTCCGCCCCGTCCCCTCCGCGGGGCCCGCGCCCGCCCCGAGCCCCGCTGCCCCCTGCCGTCCGGCACCTGGCGGCGGCTCCCTCTCCGCGCGCGCCCCGGCGCCGCAGCAGCCCCCCGGCCGCGGGCCCCGGCCTCCCCCGCGCCTCCCCCACGCCGGGGCGGCCAGGTGGTTCCGCCCGGGCTCGCCCTCGCAGCCTGCGAGGCGGAGACGTGACCCGGGTGCGATCCCCGCGCCCCGGCCGGCACCGGTGCCCTCTCTCCGGTCGGGGCTTGGGACGTGCGACCGCCGGTCCTCTTCGCGCCCCCACAGGGTGCTCGCCTTTCCCTCCCCGAGGGCCCCCCGCAAGCGCTGCTCTTCCTTCCGGACTCTGCGTCTAAGGGTCTCCGGTCCGGGGTAGGAGAGGTGGTGTGTGTCATTCATCCATGTTTTAGAAAACGTGACAGTTTGTCATCTCAGTTGGTCCCCCGCGGTCTCCGGGGCAGCGGCGTGCGCGGAGCCCCCTCGGCTAGGTCTTCCCATGGCATTCGTGATTTTCACGGGAGGTGAGGGATCGGAAACCCGAGCCCGGCGGATGGGTGTTTGCTTTTGGAGAGGAAAGGGGCAGTGGCGTGGTGCGCGGCTGGCACGTACCCCAGCCACGCCAAACGCGCTGTCTCAGTCGTGTCGTGTGAACTGATCGCGTGTTCCATTTTTCGCGATTTCCCTGTTCCACCTTGTGTTGAGCTTGCCAGTCAGTGCCTTCGAACCCCTGGTACGGGATTCAGGTACTGTTTTGGTCACCAGGGGGACCTAGCAGACGCCGCCCGGAGCAGTCAAGCGCAAATCCATCACCCCAGTGGAAAAACAACTGTAAATCTAAGCGGGGTGCCTACCTTCAGGGGACTAGGGGTGTTTTTCCTGTGTGCACGCAAGGAAAGCATTGTTAGTCTCTTGTGAGGGGAAGAGGGTCAGCTGGTGCTTTTATAACGCTGAGAAAAGTTGGGAAGGGATCTTGGGGGTGGGCAATACAATGGAATTTTCTTTCAGACAGCTTACACGTAATTCGGGACCCTGCAGTGGGTGCTGTGCTGCGACTGCCAAGCGTGCTTTGACAGCCCAGGGTCGCCAGGGTGTTTGTAGGAAGGAAACTTAGAAGTCTGCACGCTGTTGGAAGGAGCAGCGCCGCGGGAGTAATTGTGCCTGGAGTAACTATGGTCTCCACCCAGTCTAGAGTTCCACTCAGATCACGTACCTCTTTGTGAGTTTAAAAAATTATTTTCCTGACTTCCCAAAATTAGTTTTATGAAATACATAATTCTTTTTTTTAAAGATTTATTTTTATTATTTTTCATTGGAAAGGCGGATATACAGAGAGGAGAGACAGAGAGGAAGATCTTCCGTCCGATGATTCACTCCCCAAGTGAGCGCAACGGGCCGATACAATGCCGATCCGAAGCCAGGAGCCTCTTCCGGGTCTCCCACGCGGGTGCAGGGTCCCAAAGCTTTGGGGCAAAGCTTTGGGCCGTCCTCGACTGCTTTCCCAGGCCACAGGCAGGGAGCTGGAAGGGAAGCGGGGCTGCCGGGATTAGAACCGGCGCCCATATGGGATTCCAGGCGTGCAAGGCGAGGACCTTTAACCACTTGCGCCACCGCGCCGGGCCCAAAATACATAATTCTTTCCCACTGAAATTATTCTACTATGCTTTAAAAAAATCTGGCCATAGACCTTACTATAGACTTTGGTTCCTTTGGCTGTAAATATTCTCCAGCAATATGGTTGTGACTTTTTTTCCCACTGTAGCATGAGAGCTTTCAGATTGGATGAGTTAGGATTCACTTTACAAATAAGTTATATTTCCACTAATGGCAAACATTTGGTATTTCTTACTAAATTTGCAATGCCATTATGTATTACCGAGTGAAGGTAAATTCAAGTTTTTTAAAATAGCAGTTTATGTATTTATTTATTTATTTTTACTTGAAAGGCAGAGTTACAGAGAGGAGAGAGAGAGATCTTTCACTGGATCCAGGAGTGTCTTTTGCGTTTCCCATGTGGGTACAGGAGCCCAAGGACTTGTATCCTCTGCTGCTTTCCCAGGCCATTAGCAGGAAGCTGGATGCAAAGTGGAGCTGCAGGACCTCAACTGGTGCCCATTTGGGATGCAGGAACACAGGCAGAGGATTAGCTTGCTGTGCCACCCACCAGCGCCAGCTTTAAGCACTTCAAAAGGTTTGGGGACATGGTGATATTCTACTAGGTAGATTAGTTCTGTATAAAATAATAACCAAGGGCTCGGCACAATAGCCTAGTGGCTAAATCCTGACCTTGCATCTGCCGGAATCCCACATGGGCACCGGTTCGTGCCCCAGCTGCTCTACTTCCCATCCAGCTCCCTGCTTGTGGTCTGGGAAATCTATGGAGAATGGCTCAAGACCCTGGGACTGTACATCCACATGGGAGACCCGGAAGAAGCTCCTGGCCCCTGGTTCTGGATTGGCTCAACTCTGGCTGATACGGCCGCTTGGGGAATGATAGAAGATCTTTCTGCATCTCCTTATCTCTGTACATCAGTGTTTCCAGTAAAGGAATAAAAATATATCTTAAAAAAAACCAAATAATTATGAAATAGAAATGCCATAGGTTATCATATATCTGAAAGGAATAAAAGTTCAAAGCATGAAAAATAGAATCCCAAGGTTTTTTTTTTGGAGGGTGGTTGGTGGTTTAAGTATCACCTTAGTGTTAACATTCATTCTGTTCGTGAATTTTCTTGCTAGTTACTTTTCATCTCATCATATTGTTTCAAGATCATCCCCCCTCCCCCTTTTTTTTTTGACTGGAAAGTCAGATTCACAGAGGAGAGAAAAGTGGTGCAGCTGGGACATAAACTGGTGCCCATGCAAGGTGCAGGCAAGGCGAGGACTTTAGCCACTAGGCTATTGCACTGAGCTCCACCACATTTTTATTTTTTTAGAAGAGGCATCGAGTTACTGTGTTACACATTCCGTTCCTTATTGCCTTTATGAGTGTCTCACCTTTTTATACTTCTACCGCTAGAGGAACTTCAGACTTCAAAGATTAAACTGTTTTCAGCTGAGACTACTGTTCAGCCAGTTCCTCAGCCACAAAAATTTGGAGTAATGAAGAGCTCCTTTTCCTTTCTTATGTTGCTTGTTTCTTTGGAAACATCAGGAGGCACAAAAGCAGAGCAGAGCTCTGTTCATATTTGTGCATCTGATATGTAATGACTGTAAGAGAGGGGGAATGACATCTATTTTATGATGTCATTGGTGCCCCCCCCCCCTTTTAAAATGTTTTACTTACTTAGAGAGAGACACCAACTGCTGTTTACTCCCAAATGCCTGCGATGGTCAAGGCAGGACCAACCAAGCTGCAGCCAGGGTCTGGAACTCCAGTTGGGTCTCGCACATGAGTGCCAGAGACCCAACTACTTCTGCCGTCATCTTCTGTCCCCCAGGATGTGCATTAGCAAGAAGCTGGATCAGAAAAGGAGTTGGACTGGGAGCAGGCGCTCTGAGAAGGACGGCAGGGCTCCCAGGCAGTCAGTTAAGCACAGCGTTGGATACCAGCGCTTTTCAGTGCATTTTTATCAGAAAAGCTTGTTCGATCCAGGCGAATACATCAGTTTCGTTCCAACCCACCTGTATTATTTATTGAGTATTTATTGACCAAGCGCTCGCTGTGACTTATTTTGTTGACTCAACCATTCACTTAGTATGCGTTTGTCAGATGCCTGTCACATGCTAGAAGCTATGAGAAGTGGGGATGGGGGCTGTGTGTGTGTTAAGCAGACACCCTCATGGAGTGTGTGGATCTTGTTTGAGAAAAAGGCATCGATCAGGTCACCTCGGGAATGTGTAGTGTCAACAGTTTGTGGCGTGAAGTCATGAGAATGATGAAAAACTGCCTGAAAGAGTAGTTTCTCTTTTTAAAAATCTTTTTATATGGAAATTTTTAAAAAAGATTTATTTATTGGAAAGTCAGATATACAGAGAGGAGAGACAGAGAGGAAGATCTTACACCTGATGATTCACTCCCCAAGTGAGCACAACAGCCAGTGCTATGCTGATCCGAAGCCAGGAGCCAGGAACCTCTTCTGGGTCTCCCACACGGGTGCAGGGTCCCAAGGCTTTGGCCTGTCCTCGACTGCTTTCCCGGGCCACAAGCAGGGAGCTGGATTGGAAGTGGAGCTGCTGGGATTAGAACCAGTGCCCATATGGGATCCTGGCACGTTCAAGGCGAGGACTTTAGCCGCTAGGCCACGCCGCCGGGCCCTATGGAAATACTTTTACATATGCTTAAAATGAAGGTGTAAAGAGCTCTCCTAGACCCAGCACATGTCCTTAAGTAGTGATCAGGGGCAGGTGTTTGGCGTGATGGGTAAGTCTCTGCTTTGGATGCCTGTTACCTCACCAGGAACTGTGGGGTTTGAATCCCAGCTCCACTGTCCCTGCCAGCTTCCTGCTAATGTGCACCGGCTGGGGGACAGCAGATGATGGCTCAAGCCATCATCTCAGCCCCCCACTTGGGAGATCTGGAATCAATTCCTGGCTTTTGGCTTTAGCCCAGCAGCCCTTGCTGCCCACAGTGGGCAGTGGATGCACGAACCAGCAAATGGGAGGTCTCTTTAGTTCTATCTTTCAAATAAACATTTTTTTTAAATTTATTTTTATTACAAAATCATATATATAGAGGAGGGGAGACAGAGAGGAAGATCTTCTGTCTGCTGATTCACTCCCTAAGTGACTGCAACAGCCAGAGCTGAGCCAATCCAAAGCCAGGAGCCCAGAGCCTCTTCTGGGTCTCCCACATGGGCGCCAGGGTTCCAAGGCTTTGGGCCATCCTCATCTGCGTTCCCAGGCTACAAGCAGGGAGCTGGATGGGAAGTGGAGCCGCTGGGATTAGAACTGGCGACCATATGGGA